ATGGAAATCACTAGGAAAAGGCACCATAGGTTACTGTACTTGAAGCAAACTACATATATTGAAAAAATGTTGATTAAGTTTGCCATGCATAACTCTAAATCTGTTTCACTTCCATTGGCCAGCCATTTTAAGCTTAGTAAAGAGCAATGTCCTGTAAGTGAATCTGACATTAGGCAAATGGAAAATGTACCTTATGCTAATGCCGTAGGTTCTGTCATGTACACTATGGTATGTACTAGGCCTGATGTAGCTCATTCCATTAGCTCACTTAGTAGATTTATGGCTAATCCAGGACCAGACCATTAGGGTGCTCTAAAATGGCTGTTGAGATACTTGAAAGGGTCTTCACATGTTGGTTTGATCTTTAGTGCTTGTAATGAAGGTGTTGTACTTAAGGGTTTTGTAGATTCAGATTTTGCCGGAGATAGAGACAATAGGAAATCTACTACTTCTTATATGTTTACTTTGTGTAATACATGCATTAGTTGGAAATCTCAACTTCAACCTATTGTTGCTTTATCTACTACTGAAGCTGAGTATGTTGCTGCAACTGAAGCAATAAAAGAAGCATTATGGCTTAAGGGCTTATTATCTGAAATTAATGAATTGAGTAACCCTGTTGTCTTGTATTCTGATAGTCAAAGTGCAATTCACCTATGTAAAAACCCAGTTTTTCATGAAAGAACAAAACATATTGATGTTAAGTTGCATTTTATTAGAGATGTTGTTTCTAAAGAACTCATATTACTTGAGAAAATTGCAACTCGGTATAATCCAGCTGATGTAGGTACTAAGGTAATTCCTTTAAACAAATTTAAGTCTTGTTTACAAATTTTGAACATTGATGCTGGTTAAGTGTTTTGTTCTGCACAGGTGCTAAAGTTGATGCTTGTTGAGAATGCTGGGAAGCTGTCTTCTAGAGAAGGATATTTAAATTGTGTTTTACATTTATTAGGCCTCTTGTATAATCACTGGCATCAAGGTGGAGATCTGTTGGGCTGTGATGCCATTTGATCCAGTCCAACTGTTAGGCAATGATGAAAAGGCCCAAATTGGATTTATTACTTGGTCCATTAAATATATACCTAGAAGGCCCACTTAACCGAGCCCAATATTCAGCCCACACACCATTAGTCGCTCTTGGACCGTTGGATTGACCCGCTGATCAACGGTTGATGATATTTACTATAAATATTTTCCTTACTCCCTGTTTGGCTCTTGGATCGTCACTTTCTGTTTTTCTCTTACTCTCTGCCGTTTGGAACCTTCGAGTTCCTTTGTCTGTGTGATCCTTCCTTCTTCTCTTTGTGAGATTTCTGGTTGATTATCTTTGTGATAATCGTGTTCTTGTGTGATTCTCCTTGGTGTGAGTGATCGACCGAAGGTAGGCAGTTTGATTTCTTGAGTCCAGTGAAGTGACCTTGGTGTGTTTGGGTTGTGAGGGTTCGTTTTGAGTCTCGGTGCCTCTGTGATGGTTAATGGGTGTGGTCTGAGCCTTCGATTGAAAGATCTAAGCCTTGATGTTGTGATTTAGGGTTTATGATGTAATCTGCGATTCTATGATTTCATCTATGTTTCTTTGGATTCAGTTTATAATAATTAAGTTCTTTATTTAGTCCAGCCAAGGATTTTATTGTTCAGCTTTGTAGACCTTTCATAGCCCAGCACAATCAGTAATGCATGCCCAAGTAAACTCATAGAATATATCCTGCTCTTGCCACAGACTTTCCAAGGTATTATATATTTAGTAATAGTGTAACACCATATTAACTTTTTTTGGTTTCCATTATCTTGTTTGCGATTTCAAACACTTGCATTGAATTTCCCATATCAGAATAAGTCTCCTTAACAGCATCCGATACTTCTATCACTATTCGCAAGAACAGACATGTTAAGCCAATCTCAGGATCCATGGCATTTATTAACCACAACTTAATCATCCAATTCTCAATGCCCGTCTATTCTACTGGGTATCAGTTTCATGAAAGGGGATCAAATAATTGTTCAGATATTTGAGCTTCCCTTTCCAGACCATGAGCAATGCAGAGAATTCTAGCCTTAAGTCTGTGGGTTGGGATCAGGAAGAAGGATTATCACTTAAGCTTATTCACCTTGGATTGCGAGGTATGTTAGGTCGATGTCTGGTATTAACACTCCTTTCAAAAAAAATTCTGGTATTAACCCTAGACAAGGCAACTAAATTCTAGAATAAGAGGTAAGTTCTGATGTCATGAAAATATATATTGAAGAAATGAACTCTTTTCCTCGTATATTTTCTCAATGTACAGCAGCATATTGCTAATTAAAGGCAAGTGAAGCCCACTTAAAATCTTAAAAATCAGAAAACTAATCTAAACATATATTTTCTAAAAATAAATCTCCTACAACAAATATTTGCTTTTCCTGTAATGAGCAATCTCAACAATCTACCATGGCTCTAACATGGCTCACAATATCCTTTTTATCTCCTGCTTCAAAATGAATGGCTTGGTATCATTTAGTACGATATCTTTGGAGAAGCTTTTGGCAATCAGGATTTTTTACTTTGTTCCAGTCAAGTGGATGAACTTGATTCAACAAAAAATGAAGAGAAGAATAGGTGGACATCTTCCCTTCTCTGGCTTATTGGTTAGAAATAAAAATGTTATTTAGTGAACTTCACATAAACAGCCATCATAGGATATGTTTAATAGTGCAATCTTTACACTATTTAGTGGCAAAAGAAGTGGCATTGAGCTGGATAGGCATTTCTTGTTACAAGCCATTACGCCCTCTTAGTCCACCATTTAGCTGCAGACAGATGGCGCAGGATTCTGGTTGCGCATCCCATCTCCTGAATAGTTGTCACCTCTACTTATTTCACCATTTAGTAGCATGTTTATGGAACTAACAATGTAGATTCGATTACGCATCTACTAGAACTTCCCAGAATCCTTTGAATAATAAGGCCCGCCTCATATCCTCCAAACTTTCATTAAGAGTCGTATTATATTATCTGCAGGCGGCACCTTCTCTTCATTTGAGTCCTGGAAGGCAGAGCTAAGTAGGTGCCTGTGGGAGCACATGACCCCCAGGATTTTTATTTTTTATTTTTTTGTTAATATTCGAAAAGGAAAGAAAACAAAGATTAAAAGTTTAGTTTACTGAAAGAAAATTTCTGAAGATTATTGGTAAAAGTTTCTTGTTGTGGCCTTGGCCTTGGAGACCAGGTCTCGAATCTTTGGCCTTGATGATTTTCTCAGTCATGCCTTGCCTCAATGCCTCCAACATGAATAATGGCTATACAAAGTAGGTTGCTAAGACTTTGTCCACAATCACTATTCTTATCGATATTTTACAGTTTACAATTCTCGCATCTTAGAGCCATAATATTTCAAAAGTTGGCGAGTACTCACTAAAATACATTTTCATCCTAAATTTGAATATCCATTGGCCATAAGCACCACATCAGGGGTGCATATTTGGTACATCGTATTGGATTATGGGATAGGACTACTTGATGTGATTAAATTGAATTATGTGGTACCATATAAGAATAATGTACCAGTATTAGAAAATGAAAAAATGATAATAAATTTTTTTTATAAGTAATTTTTCTTTCTGAAATTTACTCATAAGTGGCTTCTTTTACTTATATATGAAATTCATAGTCATGAAGTTTTTTTACTCAAAAGTGAAGTTTTTACTTATAGGTAACTTTGATTACTTGTACAATTAATTTTTCTACTTAATCATAATTTTACTTATATAAGTTTTTTCTTTCCTACGTGCAAAACTTTTACTTGTAATAAGTGAATTTTAAAATTTTTTTAGTTATGAATTTTGACTTAAAATTGATTTTTTGCTTCCAAGGGATTTTTTTTTTTTTTTTTACGAAAAGAAAAAAAAAAAAAAAAAAAAAAAAAAAAAAAAAAAAAGGGAAAAAAAGAAAAAGGTAATTATAAATAAATTTATGCATTTCGTTTTTCAGCTCAAACCTATGTATTTCAATTCAACTCATATTTTCTAATTCATAACACCGTGAATTAATCTGGTCTAAGCCCACCTCGTAAAGTGTCTTAAATTTGTCCAGTTGACTAAAGGAGGATAAACACCTACAATAAATTTAATCCTTGTATTAAATATTAGATAAGATTAAATTAATCTTATTCAGCCTAAGATGATGCACCAAACATACTCAAGCGAGTGGCATTTCATGGAGAAAATAATATACATATAAAACTTCAGCTCCTTTAAGCAATTTCTCTCTCGTGATATGCAAAATCAAGATAACTTATAATCTAAACGAGATGACTTCGAGCATCTATGGACATCTTTAAAGGTAGATATACTCAACTTTAAAGAGAATAAACGTGGAAACATTACCTGTAGGCCCCGTATATATTGCAAGTTGTCTGCAATAGAATGTTATGCACAAGAATATTAGTTCAGTTCAAAGAAAAAGAGAAGAAAAATGTCACTCAAAAGCCTAAACTCTGCTTCGGAAGCCAACACTTACTCAGTCACATAACCCAAACGCTCTGCCACAGGAATAATGCCTAGTAAACAGAGAAAGAAGACGACTGGTCCCTAAATACATTAATGTCCAACAGATTATACATACTGATGTTAAGAGGCAACGCATCAGAAAATTACAGCATGTCCCTTTTCCTAATGAAATAGAATTACAAAGGGAGTTCTTACATGCTTTCCTGTAAGACGGTGCAGCATTATGGCAATGAATCCAAAAGGAAGCAAAGTGTTTATCTTTGCTTTGATTAAGACAATGTAAATACTCCTAAGCCAACTGATCCGGTGCATCTTTCTCAAGAGTGACGAGAAGGAAACTTCTGAGGGTGGTGAAATAACACGGTTTGCTTCAAAATTGAAAGATTGGCTTTTCTTTGTTGGCTGAGTTGAGTTAAATGGGATGTTTTGGTCTTTGGCAGATTCAAGGTCAACCTTTTCCTCTATGGATCCCATCTTCACAAACAGAGGCAAATTCCCTGATAGACCAATATAATATTGTATTTCTCAACACAATTTCAAATAAGGCCATCAAATAGATCCACTGACCTCAATGTAATGTGATACAATGATTGACCACATAAGATTAGAGTATCAGTAAAACAGCAAATAAACTTTGAAATCAGCATATTACTCGACAAAGATTCAATCTTTAAGCTAATTTTATAATCTTAAAAGTTCTTTAAGCTCATAAGGGAAACAGGAATACTAATGATAACATTACTAGCATTAAGGTTTGATAAATGACCATAATATCAAAATTAAGAGTAAAGAAACATGAAAACCTCTAAACCCATCAAAGCAAATCACAGTCAACAAAGAATGAAAATGGATAACAAGCAAATGACAGATCAATTCATAAAAACAACTAAATGCAAGCACTTATACACTGAGATGCCTACTTTCACCAAAGAGAGGCGCAATTAAGCTCTATATCACCTAAGTCCAAGCACGGGAATGCACCAGAAGCACTATTCGTTTGGGAGGCAGAACCCTTACCGAATGGGTTAACTCCCATGTTGTGATGTTCCACGTCATTCTCCCCTCGTAGAATCGAACGCGGAACCTCCAAACAAAATTTAACTACGGAGAAAAATTTTAATAAAGCAATAACACTATAATTTTACTCTTACAACCTTTTATAATTGTAGTTCACGGATTTTCATACTTCGAATAGTTTAGAGGGCTCTTTCATAATTTTATTATTACCTTTTTTTAAAATTTACCAAACTTGCTACCTCTCAAACATCCATATTCCCTTTCATTTAAAGCGATTTTACTTTTAGTTTAGAGAAAATACGCTTCAATCAAAATCTAAAACAACTATACAAGAATCATTACACGTTCAAACTCTATTTAAACAATTTATTAAAAAAATACAAAAAAAAAAAAAAATCTTAAAATGTTGAGTGATTCTTACATAATGCACAAACCACATTGATTCTTTCATATAGAAAACTTGGCAGGCTATTGAAAATAAAATACAGAAGCAGATAATAGAGTTGAAAATTCTACCTTTATGAAGTAACTAGTTTATAGCCAAATTATTTTAAAGGTGAACCAAATTATCCACACGCTTTCTTGCATATGCGTATACAGAAGAGGAAGTAGAAAAAAATTTCTTTGAATATAAGTTGGTGTTTCTACTCTCTTGTAGTGGGACTTTTAATGGTCCAGCCCGCTGGCTGCAAGGTCGAAGGGATGTTTCTAAGAAACATCATAGAAGGATCCTTGAACTACCAATACTTGAATATAGAAGTACCAGTCGACATTGGGAGTTTGGACAAGAGAATCTATAATTATGTATTATAAATAAGTATTGCTATTTTAGCCTCATTGTTTCTATCAAAATATAATATTGATCAGTGATTTGATCTCATTTCAATCATACATTTTTCATTAAAATAATATTACACTCAAATTCAAGATTTTTTTTATTATTTTTAACCACACATTTCTCATCAATACATTATTTAATAATATATATATATATATATATATTGCAAGAATGGAGCTCAAAGAAGCCCTTAGCACGTCGGGAATTTAACATCAACATTAATTACATTAAATTATATGTTTAGAATCACGTAAACATATAACCCCTCTAGATCTAGATAACATTATTCTTTATATTTGACTTTGACATATTTTAGCATTGTAGGTCCACGTGTTGGGAGTTTGGACGAGAAAAAAATATATGAGATGACAATCACTCAAATCATTAATTATTGGACGTTATTTAATTTCGGTATAGATCCTCCTATTTATAAATTTGAGTGACTTTTAATTTAAGTCGATCCAATGTTTAATATGCATTTCAATAAAATCATGAGAGTGTGGGTTATAACCACTTGAGATTTATAAGATAATGAGTGTTGGATTGACTTAAATTGAAGGTCATGATTATTTATCAAATATATGTGTCAAATTTATAAGTAGAAGGATCCAACCCAATTTAATTTAGTATATATGTGGAAGTGATTTTATGACATGTGTGATTAAAGAGCAATTGAAAGTTATTAAAAACATATATATATATATATTTTTAATAATGTATGGTAGAAAATCAGTGGCAAAATTAACTTGAAAAGATAATTCCAAACAAGCACTTAATCTAATTATCTACGAAAATAAGCAATTAAATTTGGCAAATAATAATTGGAATTTAATTAAGTTAGGAAAGGCATTAGGATCTCAAATATTTTATTCTTAACCAACTTTAATCCTCAATTATCTGTTATTATCTAATTCTCGTTTTATGTTGACAATCAATACTCCTTCAATGTTAACTGCCTCATGAATTAATTTAGTATTTATTTCTATAAAATATGTGAAATATGCTTTGTTTGGAGTAACGAGAAATTTGTGGCCAACTTGGGGAGAACGAGGAAAAAAGATAGAAAAAACCTAGTTTGGCGTTAACCTTATTGCCAGCTTTCGCTAAATGGTAGATTAACCTAAAAACGCCCTTGCCATTTTCCATAGAAAAAAGGACCCAACCATTTGGGCCCATTCGTTTGGAGAGATTTGAGTAGGAGTGATGGAAAAGAACCAAAAGCCCCGTTTCTATGGAGCTCCTATGGATGGTGATACAGTCGCAAGGTGGGCGATCTGCAGTTAGAAACTTTTATAAAAGTCTTTAGAGTACTAACTTTTAAGCAAAATGTACTTGTATAAAATCTTAAAATCTACCTCTTTCATATTTTTTTCCCCAATCTTTTTTCCCTTTAACATTCTATGGACATGTGTGATTGAATTTTTTTCTATTGATTATATTTATTTCTCTCTCTCTCATTATTTATTTCTATTTTAAATGAAAAAATTAAATTGGATTCTTGTAACTTTTTTTCTTTTTTCATTCATTTGTTTTTTGTGAAAAATATTTATTTTTTATTAAATTATAAAATTTTATATCAAAAAATTATAATTAAATTTAGATATATTGATTTTTATTTGTTTTTAAAAGTATACTATACTAATACTATTGAATCATATGTATGTATAATTTTGAATATTATTTATCTAATTGAGTTCTTAAATTTTTAGTTTTTCAAATTTTTTTTTATTATATGGGAAGAAAAAAACGGAAGGTAAAGGGGGATTGTGGGAACCAACACCTCGTATGTGAGAATTTCACACCATTGTACTATATTCACGTGAGTTCTATTTCATATGAAAGTTTTCAAAAGTCTTTTGAATTCTACAAAAATCTATAAAAATTTAAAATGGAAGTTCATAGAAGTCTACAAAAGACTTCTACTAATTCCATACAAATCCATAAAAGATCCATGAAATTTACAAAAGTCATCATTTAAAAAAAATTCCACCAAAGTCTTCAACAGTCTCAATTCTATACACCCCTATAAAATTGTTCGAGACAAACTAACTCGATGTCCTTAGGGATATTAGACATATCCCTAAACTTGTTCAGATCCCTCTTAGTACTTCGAGGCCTCATAAGCTCCCGCTTTACCCTCACTCTTATCAGAACCTTAGTGCTCATCTACAGGCTCGTCTCGTCTATAACTCCACACCCTGCCCAAGATTGTGCAGGTTTACACACTCGTAAGATAATAGAATAGTTGTCTAGGACTTAACACTGGAATATAGCAAGTTCATTAATGATGATGATGACCTCGCACTGTCATTCCTAAACCTAGCATTGAGAGCCTCGGTGCTAATAGGCCTATTTTCGGAGTCACAACGAGAAAACATTCTATGGATTTACTAAATACATTTAGACTAAAGAACTCGTCAGAGCACAACAAATGGTGAACGAGAGATGAAAATATGCTAAATGAAAGTAAAAAAACTCAAGCAAAACACATACCTAAAAGATGATTTGAAAGGCTTTAGAAGAAGGAGAAGCAAAAGAGGTCATCGAAAAACGCTTTTAACATCTGCTACACCATGGCCAGAAAATATAATCTTAACCAAAAGAGAGAAAAACACGAATGTAAGAGTTTTGGAAGAATATTAAACTATAACAATGTCAAAGATGTCATATATATGTTTTATGAAAACATATTCTTGCTGTTCGATCTGATCAAGATTGATCTTGACTACTTAGACGTGAAGCAATTCTAGTCATTAAATACAAAAGGCACCAAAAATATTTCAAACATATAGATCAAATCAAATACGTTTGTCACACGCGCATCAAATACATCAATGTCTACAATGTCTGTATTTTGGAACGCACCACAATCTCATTGATACATGCAATGGCATCTACCATCATGGAACTGTCCTTTCACTTGACCATGAATAAATCGCCATTAATGAGCCAATCAACATTGGTAACTGTAACATCTAAACCCCTGCTTTACACACTTCACAGGTTCGCATCTTAACATAAATAGTTAATCTCGAATTTCGGGGGACTACTAAGAACTATTTGCCTACTTCGGCAATAAGCAACTTCTTATTATTTTTTTTTTAACGAGGTGTCCCAACTTGCGCCAAACTATATCCTCGTCCCTAAACCTCCGGCCCCTCAGCTGCTCAGGGAGGTAAATCGCAGGATGTGCCCTTGTTGATTCCCAGGTTCCCACATGATTTTTACTCCTTCTCCAAAGGGAGCCTCCTCCATGGTGATTAATCCACCAATAATTCCTCTTTTATTGGATCAAAGGTTCCCACCAGGAATCGAATTCCCCACGCTTGGTTTCAGAGCCCCCAATGTGATTGTTTCGCCAACTTGGATGTGCCTTGGGGGGCGGCAATAAGCAACTTCGTTTTCGTGCAATGTTAATGAAGCATCTTATTGATGTCATATTTATAAGAAGCCAATGGCTAGTTCGTTAACAATTTTCTCGCATATTGCAACGAATTATCAATGCCCTATACGGTCAAAATAAATTCAAAAAATTAGAAACATTGCGCAACGTGGAAAACTTGAATACAAGTCCTGGACCTATCGTAAATGATTAGAGTCGGACTTTAGTAACTATTTGTTATCAATTAATTTTATAAAGTTAGTTATGAGAATTTTGACCATTATTGTGGTATCATATGCAACCATATATCATTGTTAGCAATCAATTTTAATATGTAACGATAAGTTTGATCTTGATTATGAACGATGAGCGCACAAGGCGTGCGAGCACAAATTATTGAACAAGCAAAAATACTGCTATTGGTTTCCGAAAGGTATTCCATGCCAACAAAATTGTTATTATTGATGCACACGTGAATAAGAATGCTAAACTTTTTGAAAGTGACATCACAACCAATGAATGAAGAAAATGTGCTATGGTAAATAAAAGGTGAAAATGTAACAGATTCAATTAAAAACTAACTAATTAAAGATAGCCACGTGTTGCTAAACAGAAAAGAAATAAATTGACTTCAACGGATTAATATTAATAGTCGTGAGTTCGAATAAAAAGAGGGATATGAAAAATTGAATATTATCTCCTTTTAAATAGCTAATTTCCTCTCGATCTTTTATTTTTAGCAAATTTCATTGAGTTTTTATGGAGAAAAAAATGTAGCTACATGAGAGGATTTGTTAATTTCGATCAAGGAGGAGTTAGAAGATGATTTAGGATGGAAAATAAACTTGCACCACAAGAGGCTAAACTCATGACATCCACGACAAGTAGTGTACGACACTTATTGAAATATAAGAAAAATCTAGGCCCCCGTTTGGCCCCCCATTCTTGCCAATTTTTAATTGTTGAAATAATTTTTTTTTTTTAAATGTGTAGTTGAAAAAGAATGAAATTTTTTTTATTTGTGTGTAATATTATTTCATAGAAAATTATGTGGTTGAAAATAAGAGAAAGAAAAAAATGAGAATGAGAATGGGGGTCAAACGGGGACTAGATGACCCACTCCAAGATGTCGCACCGGACCTTTTTATCTTTTCTTACTAAATATAAAATTGACGCTCATCTTAAAAAATATAAACTGATTGAATCATGATCGAAATAAACAAATGATACATATCCATCAATGAAAAACTAAAAAGTTATTCAATAAATACTTTTTCTAAATAACTTAAAAGATCAATTATTTCAAACAACTGAAAGATTTGGTCAAAACATGCTGCCAACATTACATCATTATGGCCTTGTTTGGCCACATTCTTTCAAAGAAAATACATTCTTAAATTGTGATTTGATATCATTTCAACCACG